TGTAGCAATAGCTTATAGTGTATAATGTGTATATTAATGCATGGTAGTTGTATCCCACTATTAGGTTACTATTGTTCCTCTTATGTACTCTTATGCATGTACAGTACAGTCCCTCACAGCTGATGTGAGCCACACTGATGTACACAGTACACTTGGTATGTGTACTGGTATGTACTTGTATGTATTGGTAAACTTTGTACATGTTTCATTTCTCAAAAACATGTACATGTACAAAACTATGTCATACCCATTACATGTACATGCATGTGTCTTATTGGTAGGTTGTTGCTCATAATAATGACACATTTAACTTAATTTCTATAGAATCAGTTAAGTACATGTATTGTGAGACTATTCCTGGTCTACATGTACATGTACGTATGATAAACTGGAGAATAAAAAGTGATAGATCCTGAGCAGGTCCTGATAATAATAGCCTAAATTGAAGAAGCCTGTACTCATGAGTGTACATGTACAAACTAGCCTGTGAATAATTCTCTGTTTATGTTTTAGCTGCTAATGAGAATACATGTACATGTACATGTAAGTTGTTTTGATAACACCTTGTCACAATCATAATTGAATCCCATTTCAATACAGCATAATGACTTGTATAATTAATATGTGTACAGTCAATAGTTGAGTATTATGTAGAGCTTTTATATTAATGATACATGTACATCATTCTACATGCATTCTTCAATCATTCAATGATTTATTTGTTATGTTAATGAATGTAGAACATTTCATGGTTCATCTTGTTTTTGTGACCACTTACTTGACTTGTGTTACAGTGTCTTGTCTCATTTTTGAATTGTATAAATGTCAGTTATTAAAATATGAAGGATAGTGTATAGCCGTCACATCTATTGTTACCATTACTGTAATGCATACAGTTCTACTTTGAATATTTTAATGTACATGTACATGTATAATTTGGATTAATACTGTCTATCAAATTCATGTACCATGTACATGTACTATCAGTGTAAGTACATACTATACTTGTACATGTACATTGTATGTTTGTCCTATTAACTGTCACGTGGTTACTCTCATTAATGAGTACATATCAGTTCAAGTAACACGTGTGAGTGAGGAAGAAGGAAGAATGAGCTATCAAATGAAAGGACACAGCTCATTGAGGTCAGTGAAGAACTGACAGTAGTCCCAGACTCAAGATCAAGTATGGAATGAGAGCATCATAGGAAGAACACATAGCAGGGGACAGACCTCCATCAATGAGACAGACAACTACTGATAGA